CGAGGACGGGGGTTTTGGGGGCTTGCCCATAAGACAATACACGGAGTTTGAAGACAGGATAAGAAGTTTTGATTGTTGACGCTTCACTTGGCCACTGTCGTCTTGCTCCCATAAGAGAATATACGGAATATGAGGACAGGGTAGGACAGGAGAGCAGTATAGGAAGTTTTGACTGATGACACTCCACCTGGCCACTGCTGTCTTGCTTCTACAAGAGAACATACGAGTTTGAATCCAAGACAAGACAGCACAGTACAGCACTGCACAGGAAGCTTTCATCGATGACGCTCCGCTTGGCCACTGCCGTGGAGGCTTTTCGCTTCGCTCTACTCGTATAATTGAATAAAAAGGAGAAAGAGAAGTAGAAGGAGTTAAGAGAGGGAAAAGTGCTAATTCGACATCAAATTTGCAATTGACCACAGTGAGCCAATGGTACTTCATTTCTATCAAAAGGTGGGGTGTGCCTACAGCTATTACAGTTGATTGTTGTATACAGACTAAGTAGGTCTAACTATAAGGGAGATCCTACCCTGCTTTATGGAGCGATATGCTTCGCATATCTGAATGAGATTGATATACATGTTCTAATACTAATATTATATTTAAAAAATAGCAGAATTATTTTATAGAATATTACTCGGCGGGGTTTTAAAAGACGCATAGGCGAAAACAAAAGAATCATTACTAGCGTAGTTTTATATGTAATCTTATAGAAATTCTAGATATTATTAATTAGCTAATCTTAAGCTTATAAATAAAATTTTATTTTAATCCAATATGATTTAGATTAATAATTATATATTTAAATAAAAGAGTTTAAGATTTACAGCTTTTTCTCTTTAAATTCTAAATAAATTATTTATAATATGATTTTGAACAATATTTTTTCGATTATAATAAAACCAGCTCTAAATTTTCGATTAGTAATCTTATCTTTTTGAAATTCCTAATATTTATATAGATATCATTAATTATAATCAAAAATATTTGAGTTTTAAAAAATAAATTCGCTTAAATTGTTCAAAAAAGTGGTTCTACCCCTTCAAAAATCATGAAATCCTATGTATTTTCAACTTTATTTAATAATATCTAATTCAATTATAATAATATTGAAAATGTAAAATATTGATTCTAATACTGGTTTTCGGTTTTTTATATTTATAAGAATCTCATAATATCAAATTCATTTTAGATAAAATTATATAAAAATATAATAATTTCAAAAATAAATATCGAATTATCGATATTCTATAAATTGAATTGATTATAACTATTTCAAATCGTATTCGTTTTGAATAGAATTTTATATATAGATTATTTAATGAAATATAATGAAATACTGAAAATTTTACAAAATTATGTAAAGAAATAAGCTAGCAGTATATATTTTGATTTTCGCCTATGCGTCTTTTAAAACCCCGCCGAGTAAATATATAATTTTTTATTTATTAAACAAAGGACAACATCTTACTCAAAACCTCAACCGCCCGAAAAACAACTTATTGTCCACAGTTGGTCGATAGGTTTATTGGGACAAAAGGTAACTCCTGTAGTACTTTTGAAGGGAAATCTAAAGAGTTTAGATATTGCTGTACTGTATATCCCGTCGATAGAGTTATTGATTCCGGATTTGAGAGTATGTCACCCACAATTATTGTTGGAGACCGTGGATAGATTGAAAAAGTCCAACGGTTAGAGTAGCACGCCAGCAATAAGATGGGCTTGATGAGACCACGAATGTATTGAGCGATCTTCAATTGAGACGTCCCGTTGATGATTCCCAATTTGCTTGAACATTTTCCAAATTATCATCTCTATCCATTTATGCATTTGTGGTTTCCTCAATACCAAC